GGGTTTTGCATTCTTAAATACTACTAAAAACCGCTTCCAGTAGGACTTGAACCAAAGACCTTGGCTGTGGAGGGTAGGCGCTTAGACCACTAAGCTATAGAGCCCTACCCAGATAAGCTACTTATCCTACATCACACAAGCAATAATTTAGTATGTTATTAGTGAAACATATTTTTTAGTGAATTTTCACGCAGTATAATGTCTGATAAATAGCCTGTCAGGGAAAAGACCATCGGGTAATTGATATGTAACTCTTTGAGCTATATTAGGCTCGTGTCGTTTTACAGGTTAACATGCATGTACCAATAAGTAAGTGTTGTTTGCAATTGTCAACCGATTTTGTGTCACGGGCCCATAAAAATAAGTATTCACTTTCGGAGCCACCCTTACTTTCGATACAAAATTATAATCTTTATAGCTGAAAACATATAAATTATAATATTGGATCTCCATTAAGAAAGTGATATATGACTAAATGTGTAAGATAAATTAGAATATTTGCAATATTATAAGCATATACAAGGAGTAAAACGGATATATCTTCTACAATCGCAATTATCATCATCACAACAATTGCGTTTATTATTCCCACACTAATATTACCAACATTACAAGTGTCTTTTTGCATTCTACAGACATTATCTTTAATATTACTGGTGCACCCACTACAACTTGATCCAAACAAGGTATATTACCGACTTGGATAGCAAATTACACGAAAATAAAAAATATACTAAAGCTATCAGAACTAATGGCGCAACTGATAGATTATTTAGATCAATAAAAGGTTAGCAAAAAGCAGCCATGAAAAAGCGACTCTACTCGAGGTGGGCTTGGGAAAAATTTAGAACCGTGACAATTACCAAATTACTATAAGACCTAATAAATTAGAATGCGGGAACAATGAAACTCTTTCGAATCATTAATAACTCGAATTTTGAGATATCCTTCCTAACTATCACTCTATTACATTTTCATCAAATCGATCTTATGAAATCTAATCAAATCTAAAAATTCCATAATAGTCGTGGTTTGGGGCTATGAAAAAGAAATTCATTTAATTGAAGAATTATTTTGGGGTTCATAATCATGCAAACAGCATTTAGTGTAGCATAGAGTGTTCAGGGTACCGCGGTATCTAATTCTGCTCACGCTAAAAATAAATTCTTATATTGTTCTCATAAGTTGGATGTCATTTAAATCACTTTTTAAAATCAATTACAATATAAAAAGTATTTTTAGAGTGAGCAGAATTATGAACCACAGTACCCTAGACATTCTAGTGTAGCAAATCTTTTAGGCGTTATTACACCTTTTATGTTTAGCAATTACACACGACTGCACATGATAAGGGGAACAGCATCAGGGTACTCAAGATTATTCAAATCATGATCTTAAAATGATATCGGAGATGCTATTTTACACGTTATAATAATCCTAATCTGCTGTTTTGCATAACGTTACCATCTATTCGTTTACAGCACATATAAGGCCATGCATAATAAAGAACTAGATAAGGTAAAAACATAACAGCAATGCAGAAATATAGATTAGGAAATGAGATGAAATTCATGCACAAGTAAATGAGTAAATGCAAGTACTAAAATGAGATAGCGCCGGCAAATTCTAACAGAACTCGGTGCTGTTATGTGTACTCATAAAAATGTCCCAAATAAGCATAAATGGGCGTTATTGGCGTTACTTATGGTTTATATCCAATTTATGTTATAGAAGGATTGGCAAATCAAAATGTTGAGTAGTTTCGATAGCAAATCTTTTTGATTTATTACGAATCATAACTAAATAATTTCTAGTGTCTTTGGAGGAAAAGAGCCCTCACCTGTTGAACCTAAACAAGTCTATTTTATGTTTAAATTCTGAGACACGATTATTCTAGACTCGTTTGAACAATTTTGCAAAAATCGCTCATTGTTTTGATTTCAAAATCCAAATTTAATACAATTGATACCCTTTTGAATGAATGATAATCTTATGTTAAATGGATTTTTTAATATTAATAAAATTATAGTTTGAATAACCTTTCTGATTAAACAGAAATCGTAACGTTAAGATATAAATAGAATTTCCGTTAAGAATATTTTAAGTGACTCCCTTAATAAAATTTACTAGTGATATAGTTATTATTGTTCTATCATTCGATTAATTTAAGTAATCCTTACAACAATTTCGCTGAATATTCATTGTTCGAAATGCTGGTCTTGGATTTCGGCCAAGGTAAATTAATACAAAGGGATGAGAAAGGAAATTTATTTATAGGTACGTACGTACGTGTGCAATTTACTCATATATTATATATATATATGCAACTGACTCAAATCTATACATAGATATGCAATTTGATCAAAGCAAAACCCAGATTCTAAGTTTTTATTGTAGAATTGTAGTACGAACCAAATTTTGTGAGGCATGTGTTACATCCAAATATTACATTATTGGCTTGATTAAATAAATTTTAAATTTGGATTATTTCGACTTATATAGTAAACCTTCTATACATTACCAAACTTTATCAATGTAAAACAACAAGAAAAATTACATTTATAGAGATCATGTACTTTGAGTGTGCATTTATGGAGGTTTTACTGCAGTGTAAGCATTCTCTATTTGGAAAACTTCGAAAATTTAATACAATACCGTATTCAAGTTACTTACCCAAAATCAGTTAATGTACTATAATTGTTAGATATTGTGCATACCTACCAAATTTATCGCATTATACGATATTTTCATTTATCTTCCATTGATGTAATTTTAATATCATATCATTTTTGACGATCTCTTCATGAAAGTTTTGAAAATGCCAGATAATGCATACTCGACGCTCGGCCGAATTTAAAATTGGTAATGATGATGCGTGCTGAATTATTCACTAATTAGAAAAAATAAAGAGAAAAAGGTAAACCATTCCATACTATAACCTTATAATTAACGAATAGATGATTTATATCTTTACTCTATCCTAAATTTCTTTATATAAGTGGCCTTCTAAATTTCTTCTGCTTCACACAAATTGTTTCATTCATAATATAAATTAAATTTAGTCTACAATCAAAAAATCCAAATTCTATTTATCCACAATTAATTTTATTTTAAATTTTATTTATCTCAAGATTTAATTTCAAAATATCTAAATCATGAAGTTCAATTATATTGCCGCATTTTTGACCCTTTTCACTGCCAGTACGTTGGCAATTCCAACTCCAATTTCACAAGGTATTAATTTTTATATCAATATTTGATTATACTTATTATTACTTCCTATATTGTTTTCTGCTATGTCGAATAATTGATTTATTCATTAATTTTCTATTCAAGATGTCGCTAAAAGTTTGAAAAAGCCGAAAGCGGGTTCTGCAAATTTTGAAGATACAAAAAGGGATTTGTCTATAGATCCTGAAAAAGAAGCGAGGAGGAGGAAGAGTAGAAAGGGTGCTGTTACAAATGCGGAGATGGATTTTGAAGATACCAAAAGGGATTTGTCTATAGATCCTGAAAAAGAAGCGAGGAGGAGGAAGAGTAGAAAGGGTGCTGTTACAAATGCGGAGATGGATTTTGAAGATACAAAAAGGGATTTGTCTATAGAACCTAAAAAAGATGTGAGAAAGGGTAGAAAGATGGATTTTGATGACAAGACAAAAAGTTATGCGCTTAAAGATTCAAAAAGAGAAGCAGTTGAGAATTTGGAAAATAAAGTAAAACCTTCTATTAACAGAGTGGGAAGGGGACAAAAAAGAGAAGCTGTTGAAAATTTGGAAGATAAAGTAAAACCTTCTATTAACAGAGCGGGAAGGGCACAAAAAAGAGAAGCTGTTGAAAATTTGGAAGATAAAGTAAAACCTTCTATTAACAGAGCGGGAAGGGCACAATAAAAAATAAGAAAAGAGAAACTGTTGCAACTGTTGAAGACAAGGGCCTCTATTAACGATTTGAGAATGAGAGGTCTGAAGAAATCAAAAAGGGTTTTTAAAATATAAGAAAAAGGATTCTGTTACTTTAGAAGATATAAAATGGATTAAAATAAGATACGAATGCAAAAAAATCAAAAAGATGACTATTTATTAAAAGAAATATAGCTAAATATAAAGTACAAATCAAATATCTTATTCATACTGGTGAACATTGATTTGAAAGATGATGTCAAAATCTTTATTGTATTATTAGTCTGATAAATTTTATAAGCTATTTTTTTTTTACCTTTATATAATAAATTATTCATATATCTGTATCAGATCAAAAAACTATGATTATTTTTTATTTCATTAACAATTTATAATTTTGACTATTCTACTAATCCACTCATAAAATTTGATTAATACGCCAATTACAACTATTCTACTAATCCACTCATAAAATTTAATTAATACGCCAATTACTAACTAGCCTGGTATGTTAGCTTATTAAGCAAGCATAATAAAATGGATTAAGGTTGAGATATATATCTATGATTTGTATAACTTATAGGGCAAACCACCGTAATTACTGAAACAAGTTAGCGTTAGCATAAATATTGATCTTTATTTAATGTAAATCCCAATAGTACC